GATAGAACAACGTGTCTTCATTATTAAAGAATATTTCAAAAATAGTGAAAGCTTGGCGGCTGCAGTTCGAAAATTTCATACAAAATATGGTCGGAATAGTTCCTTTTCTTTTTAAAATTACGAATTTTATTAGAAAATTTGATTTATATGTATAGTAGTCCTCCATTGCGGGGGTTGTAATTTTTGAAGTACATCAAATATTTGTATTTCGTTAATCGATTATACATAAATGATCCCTAAGCAACCCTCCATTTGCACTCTAAGGCTAAAGTTCCTTTTCGTTTTAAAATTACGAATTTTATTAGAAAATTCTGACTTATATGTATTGTAGTCATCGATTGCGGGGGTTGTAATTTTTGAAGTACATCAAATATTTGTATTTCGTTACTCGATTATACATAAATGATCCCTAATCAACCCTCCAATTGCAATCTAAGGCTAAAGTTCCTTTTCGTTTTAAAATTAAGAATTTTATTAGAAAATTTAGTCTTATATGTATAGTAGCCCTCGATTTCGGGGGTTGTAATTTTTGAAGTACATCAAATATTTGTATTTCGTTAATCGATTATGTATAAATGATCCCTAAGCAACCCTCCAATTGCACTCTAAGGCTAAAGTTCCTTTTCGTTTTAAAATTACGAATTTTATTAGAAAGTTTAGACTTATATGTATAGTAGTCATCGATTTCGGGGGTTGTAATTTTTGTAGTACATCAAATATTTGTAATTCGTTAATCGATTATACATAAATGATCTCTAAGCAACCCTCCAATTGCACTCTAAGGCTAAAGTTCCTTTTCTTTTTAAAATTACGAATTTTATTAGAAAATTTGATTTATATGTATAGTAGTCCTCCATTGCGGGGGTTGTAATTTTTGAAGTACATCAAATATTTGTATTTCGTTAATCGATTATACATAAATGATCCCTAAGCAACCCTCCATTTGCACTCTAAGGCTAAAGTTCCTTTTCGTTTTAAAATTACGAATTTTATTAGAAAATTCTGACTTATATGTATTGTAGTCATCGATTGCGGGGGTTGTAATTTTTGAAGTACATCAAATATTTGTATTTCGTTACTCGATTATACATAAATGATCCCTAATCAACCCTCCAATTGCAATCTAAGGCTAAAGTTCCTTTTCGTTTTAAAATTAAGAATTTTATTAGAAAATTTAGTCTTATATGTATAGTAGCCCTCGATTTCGGGGGTTGTAATTTTTGAAGTACATCAAATATTTGTATTTCGTTAATCGATTATGTATAAATGATCCCTAAGCAACCCTCCAATTGCACTCTAAGGCTAAAGTTCCTTTTCGTTTTAAAATTACGAATTTTATTAGAAAGTTTAGACTTATATGTATAGTAGTCATCGATTTCGGGGGTTGTAATTTTTGTAGTACATCAAATATTTGTAATTCGTTAATCGATTATACATAAATGATCTCTAAGCAACCCTCCAATTGCACTCTAAGGCTAAAGTTCTTTTTCGTTTTAAAATTACGAATTTTATTAGAAAATTTAGACTTATATGTATAGTAGTCATCGATTTCGGGGGTTGTAATTTTTGAAGTACATCAAATATTTGTATTTCGTTAATCGATTATACATAAATGATCCCTAAGCAACCCTCCAACTGCACTTTAAGGCTAAAGTTCCTTTCGTTTTAAAATTACGAATTTTATTAGAAAATTTAGACCTCGTATGTATAGTAGTCCTCGATTGCGGGGGTTGTAATTTTTGAAGTACATCAAATATTTGTATTTCGTTAATCGATTATACACAAATGATCTCTAAGCAACCCTCCAATTGCACTCTAAGGCTAAAGTTCCTTTTCGTTTTAAAATTACGAATTTTATTAGAAAATTTAGACTTATATGTATAGTAGTCCTCGATTGCGGGGGTTGTAATTTTTGAAGTACATCAAATATTTGTATTTCGTTACTCGATTATACATAAATGATCCCTAATCAACCCTCCAATTGCAATCTAAGGCTAAAGTTCCTTTTCGTTTTAAAATTAAGAATTTTATTAGAAAATTTAGTCTTATATGTATAGTAGCCCTCGATTTCGGGGGTTGTAATTTTTGAAGTACATCAAATATTTGTATTTCGTTAATCGATTATGTATAAATGATCCCTAAGCAACCCTCCAATTGCACTCTAAGGCTAAAGTTCCTTTTCGTTTTAAAATTACGAATTTTATTAGAAAGTTTAGACTTATATGTATAGTAGTCATCGATTTCGGGGGTTGTAATTTTTGTAGTACATCAAATATTTGTAATTCGTTAATCGATTATACATAAATGATCCCTAAGCAACCCTCTAATTGCACTCAAAGGCTAAAGTTCTTTTTCGTTTTAAAATTACGAATTTTATTAGAAAATTTAGACTTATATGTATAGTAGTCCTCGATTGCGGGGGTTGTAATTTTTGAAGTACATCAAATATTTGTATTTCGTTAATCGATTATACACAAATGATCCCGAAGCAACCCTCCAATTGCACTCTAAGTCTAAGGTTCCTTTTCGTTTTAAAATTACGAATTTTATTAGAAAATTTAGACTTATATGTATAGTAGTCATCGATTTCGGGGGTTGTAATTTTTGAAGTACATCAAATATTTGTATTTCGTTAATCGATTATACATAAATGATCCCTAAGCAACCCTCCAACTGCACTCTAAGGCTAAAGTTCCTTTCGTTTTAAAATTACGAATTTTATTAGAAAATTTAGACCTCGTATGTATAGTAGTCCTCGATTGCGGGGGTTGTAATTTTTGAAGTACATCAAATATTTGTATTTCGTTAATCGATTATACACAAATGATCTCTAAGCAACCCTCCAATTGCACTCTAAGGCTAAAGTTCCTTTTCGTTTTAAAATTACGAATTTTATTAGAAAATTTAGACTTATATGTATAGTAGTCCTCGATTGCGGGGGTTGTAATTTTTGAAGTACATCAAATATTTGTATTTTGTTAATCGATTATGTATAAATGATCCATAGGGAACCTGCCATTTGCGCTCTAAGGATTTGATTGAGGCAAATCCAGAATATGCTCGACGTGCAAACGGCAAAAAAGTTATGGTTTCATTTGGTTCTAACAGGGGATAGCAAATGAAGGCTAGGGATCTATTTGATCTATAGCATCAAATTTAGATCATTTTGCTGTCATACTGAGATTACTGTACGTTCTTGAATATTGTTTTAAAATCTTTGTATTGGAATAATCAGAGAAATAGTTTTTGTCTTCGATGTGGCATATTTTGGTGGTGTGGTCTCAGTCCTAAGGAATGAAAAGAGTAGCGAATTAATTATTTTAAAATAACAATGAATTGTTTGAGTTCTTAGGTACGCCTATTTGGTGTAAAAAGGAGAAATGAATGAATGAATCTGTGCTAGGCTGTCAAGGTAAACAGAATAAGTGCCTTATTTTCAAAAATAAGTACTTCCCAAAATAGGTCTTTTGCTGAGATTCCTTTAATTCGCCTAATTACAAACGGTTGTTCAATTGCAAGATAATCTTAAGGAATTTAAGTCACTGAATTTTCATGAGAAATTGCGCCGAATTTGAAATCGCGAAAAATTCTTTTCCAATAACTTCGGGCAAGGTCAAATCTACTAATAGGCCTCATGCTCAATTAATTAGCATGCAAGAACACTCCCACTTGAATACCTACAACTATCTTGTAAATAAATATCATTTCAATGTTTAGGTCAGTCTATTCGCAAGTTAGTCGGAAAGATCAGATCGGCAAGTGCGGAACGCAAAGCTCGCCAGCAGCAGCAGCGAACGAAAAGGTCACCTTCGCCGTCGTATAAGCAGGGCCACGTTATCGATAACATACACGAATCGCAAAACGGCCACCACATGGAAAACGGCCGACGCGAAAATTCGCCTGGGCCAGTTCACCGATACTACCTGGGAGAGGATCCTTTCGGCGGCAGCATTTACGGGCGTGAGAATAAGTACGATGGGGTAAGACCGGCGCGCTCGACAAGAAAGCAGTACATACAGCAACCGGAAGAATATAGGTATTTATCTTCTTTTTTCCTTTATTTAAAAAAATCGCGTCTGAGTCATGATTCCTATTAACCTTGAATTATTAAACGAGAATAACTAGTCGAACTTCGCGTAGAGGATAAGTGCAATAACCATCGTCGGTTTTGAATATCAATGAAAAATTCCTTTCGCAGATGAGGGTTGGTATAGTAATTAGTCGATCGATTTCGTAATTCTCCTAAACCTTCTCACGCCAAATTAATTTGTAAATGAAGCGCGAAGCAAACATGTTTTTAATGCTCTATTACCATGTATAGATGATCGCCATCGTCAAGGACTACGCAGTTTTTGCGTTATGAAACTACTAAGCGGCTTAGAGTAGATTAAATAGGAGGTGATCTTATCTAAAGCGCTGAAGATCATCGTCAGTTGCCTCAAAAATCTAGAGTTCGAAAACCCTGATGAGATACAAGGCACGTCAGTCCTCCCATTGTTTATTAAATTCAATGATGCATTTTTATATTTTGAACTTTGTGTAGAAACAGAGTACATTCACCCCAAAAGCTTACTACCTAATCTTAGTCTACAAGAATTTCCCAAATTGGATTTACCTAAACTTTACTACACGTCCAATTACTATGCTCAATGTTTTGAAATTGGCCAAATCACTCAAATTATACCAACATTTGGGATTCAGGAACAAAAAAATCACTGGGTCTGCATAATACTCTTCCGTTCCCGGGCCACCCTTATTAATTTATAATCAATCAGCAAAATTCACAGAGTCCCAAAAATGATCGCTAAACAACCCTTCAATTGCACTCTAAGGACAAAGTTCCTCTTCGTTTTAAAATTACGAATTTTATTAGAAAATTTAGACTTATACATATATGTATAGTAGTCCTCGATTGCGGGGGTTGTAAATAGTCTATAGCTTTTGATTGAGAAGTCTGATCGAAAAAGTACGAATTGTTTTGGATTCTACGCACCAAAATTAGTAAGAAAAAGTGTTTTCCCGAGAAATTTTGGTGCAGTCGATTTTTGGTAAAAAAGGAAGGTTATACACTGCCTTTTTTTGAGGCCCGAAAAAAAAATTGTTTCAGATCGACCCGGAAAAAAATTTTCTTATAGAATGTGGCCGTAGAATCCATAATTTCAAACAGTTCCAAGATTGGGCTACTAGTTCAAAAGTTACAGCCCTTTGAATTTTCTTTCGAATTTGGTTTCTAGTCTTATGTAATTTTTGTAGTATATACCTCGGTATATACATCAAATATTTGTATTTCGTTAATCGATTTTATATAAATGATCCCTAAGTAACCCTCCAATTGTACTTTAAGGACAAAGTTCCTTTTCGTTTTAAAATTACCAATTTTATTAGAAAATTCCACTTATATGTATAATAGTCCTCGATTGCGGGGGTTGTAATTTTTGTAGTACATCAAATATTTGTATTTCGTTAATTGATTATGTATAAATGATCCCTAAGCGACCCTCCAATTGCACTCTAATGCCATATTGTTTTTCTTGTAGCTAGCGTGGTGAAAGTACACATATAGCTTCACAAAAAATAAAAACCTCCTGAAATTTCAAATTTGAGTATTCAAAAGAGTTGTGCTTATTATGAAAAATTCTTTACGAAGATAGGTATGCAATTTTCCGGAAAATTGTGGAGTGAAAAATTTTGTTTTTGTTTTTTCACTCTAATTGTTTAAAATATTAAATATACGGAAAAAAGTTTCAATTAAAATTTGTAGCTGATGCATTTATCTACAAAATTTGCCTGAAAAGTTTTTCTGTAACTTGAAAAGTGTACGAGATATAATTGATTTCAGCAGAAGTCGATTCGTGGGTGCGCGCGAACGTCCCGTTTATTAAAGGCTTGATTTAAAAGTTAATAATTTGAAGGTTGTGATGCACTGAAAAAATAATAACGAAACGTTGGGAGATCCTATTCATTATTTTTATCGAGAAAATGCCGACAAAAATATAATTTTTGAAAATGGTGTTAAATACCTTTTACATATATATAAAGCTCCAACAAAAGTTCAAAGTCTAAATGAACTTAGTTGATACATAATGTTGTTAAAAAAAAGCAGTAAATTTGGCCACTCTTTCACCTACATCGGACGCTGCAAGACAACATGTTTTTAGAGTGTATTATCAGATTCAACAATGGTTATCTTCTAAAATTTCTCCTGAATCCTGGGGTTGGCAAAAACAAGATATTTTAATGCCTATAAAAATGAAGCAAGCCCTTGAAATTTTAAATATGATCTTTTGTAACTGCAAAACTGGTTGTAAAAAGGCTTGCGGCTGTAGAAAAGCTAAGCTCCCTTGTTCACCTGCATGTGGTCACTGTCAAACGGGAAATTGTACTAATTTAGAAGAAAAACAGCGTAGATATTGACGAAGATGAAGATAATGATGACTTCGACGATCAAACAACTACAAATGGTGATAATCAAGACACTCAAGGTTCACATTTTGCGGATAACTTCAGTGAAGATGAAAATGATATTGAGTTATATTTGAGCTCGGAAGACGAATGATACTGATTGATTTCTATATGATTAATAAATGAAAACTCTACGTTTCTACGTGTCATTGTTTATTTACTATCTTAAAATTAAAAACTTGAAAATTGATTATGTTTAAAAATACTCTTAGGAAAATTTGGTATATTTCAAAAGATATCAGAAAACTTCAGACAAATTTTATAGATAAATGCATTGGCTATAATTTTTGATTTGAACATTTTTCTGTATTTTCATTATTTAAACAATTAGAGTGAAAAAACAAATAACAAAATTTTCGACCAAAGTTCTTCCGAAAAATTGCTTACATAAATTGGTAAAGATTTTCTCATATTAAGCACAATCCTTTTAACTACCTAAGTTTGAATTTCCAAAAGGGTTTTACTTTTTGCTGCATTTTACGGATATTTTGTGTACTTTGACCAGGCTAAGAAGGGATGACATTAAACTTCTTGGGAGAGTTGGAGCACAGTTCTCTTTGGATACGCATTTGGAATGGCGAATGCATTCACGGAACCCCTTTTGCATTTACCCCAAGGTACTAATTCTAAATTCTGAAAACCGTGGTTTCTTACCTCAAGTGCTTTTGTCTTTTGGATTATGATCTACATTCTACATTACCTACGATTACTCCAAATATTCATTTGTACTAGCTTAACAACGCTTCATATACTTTATATTAATTTGTTTACTGATATTAGTTACCGTTGCTTTGTAAATTAGTTTTTGAAGTTACCGACTTTGCCCGAAGCCAATATCTGCAATTTTTAGTTACCTACGTTATTTTATTTACTCCGAAAAAATTGTTCATACTACCTGATTTACATTCTAAATTAATTAGATTGCATTGCTGTTGTATAGAAAGTTAGTTGCTTGTGCATCGTAAAGCAGTTTGTTCTTGCATAACGCCACGTTAATGCTTTTATATATATATATATAATCATCGATCGTAGGATAAATCCGTGGTCGAGTCAAAATTTTGCTTCTGGTTAGTTAACGTAAGTTGAATTATTGATTCTGATTGAGTATTAGTTACGGTTTAATATTCGATTGTCTAGGGTTAAACGTTAGAATTGCTTTCGCAATATATTAAGTGCCGCGCTATTCACTACCCCTTTTATTAGTTTGATTGTGTTGTTATCTATTACTGAATGGCAGAAGGCGCTCTTATGAGCTCACAAGGTTGCGACCTGTAGTCAAAAGGTAATTTTTTGACGTAGGTTTGATGATTCTTACTTCTTATGATCCAAAGAATGATCTCGTGCTGCATTTTCAAGTGGAACTAAATAGCGTTAATTAAGAAGATGAAATACGATATAAACGCCAGATATCTTAGCTCGAAAAATTTCCGAAACCCATTAAGAAACAAAACCCCATAAAATAAACAACGCACACACCTTCCACAGTTGCAATGCATGTGAGCAATTTATTCTTTCAAGGTCTAACAAAACCACTTGACAGAACAGCTTCCTAGCTCAAACCATATATTTAAAAAAAAAACGTTTTTGACATTCTTACTTACAGTCTTTATAATTATTAGAAAGTGAACACAAAACCTTCCCCATACACTTGGATTAATCTTTAATTGTAATGCGACATGTTTCGGCTAACAAGCCATCATCAGGCCTAAAATGTTGTATGATTACAAATTTGTCTCACAAGAGTGATAAAACTTACAAGATGTTTTAATATCCGAACGGCTTCGAAATATTAATAATACAAGTTAAAAATTAATCGACCCTGACGGGGACGAAGAATTGAGCAAGTTTAAAGATCGAGAGTCCTGAAGGGAAGCTCCCGATCTTTAAACTTGCTCAATGCTATAACATTTTAGGCCTGATGATGGCTTGTTAGCCGAAACATGTCGCATTACAATTAAAGATTATTCCAAGTGTATGGGGAAGGTTCTGTGTTCACTTTCTAATAATTATTATACAACCCCATTTCGAGTTCAACAGAGATTGGACACCAAAATTAATTACAATCTTTATGCCTAATGCTAAAATTTTAACGAAATCAAAATAACGGCTTTGCCGTTTTTTGTAATATAACCTAGCAGAATTTTTGTAGGTTGTACACAGAAAATGAAAGTCTTTCGAATAATTTAATGAAAAAAGTTCGATGCCGTTGCGGCGATCCAAAATTGTTTGTTTAAATCTGGCCCGTTATTTTTCGTTTTCGTATGGCTAATAAATGCATATCAAAAATTTGAGCAAGATCCATACGATATACAGACGGAGAAAATGTTATTCTTTAAAAGCTGCATGAACTTTTGGCATGTCCAAAAAACGGCGATCGCAATTGCCACTTGGATCAAGCTAAAAAATGTGACAAGAGAAATTTTGAATTTTATTATTAGGCCACATATGAGTATGGTGATCTATGTAAATAAACCTTTTTTTTCTTATTGTGTAACCGCCTTATTTCTAAGTTCCTCGACTATTTTGCTATGTGAACTGATAGAATGATACACTGTAAAATCAAATTTCGACTGGATAGCTTTTCTGCGAGTTTGTCAGGGAGTCGAAGCCCAAGGATGAAGTTTTTTGGACGTTAACTTCCAATGTTTATCGATTGAAAGCGATTCCACGACTAAACACGCAAATTCCCTTTAAAATCCCTTTCTAGTTTTATTAGCACAAATAATTTCTTTACGCTTAAATTCAGATAACAATTACTTTCCGACGCGAAATATTCTTTCGGCTAAACCATTTTTGCTTCCAATTGTTTTCGCCATTTTTTAATTGTAAGATTTTAGGAAAACTCTGGTTCTCTTTTGGTAGTCTTAGACCGAATGCCTTTCAAAACTTCCCCGGAATAACTACCCGCAGAAAATTGCCCAGAGATAAAATTTACTTCTTGACTAAACGCTGCTGGCTCGGGTTACCATGGAGCACGCACTGGTCGCATCGGTAGCTCAAACGCGAATGCCTTAAAATTTGTCTTACAGATTAATCTCCCTTATTCGTTATTAAATAATTAACGCCTTTCCAATATGACTAACCATTTTTCTTTAAAAGCCAATCAGGATCGCTGTAAAAAAACTAGGTTGTTTTAAAAAACCTACGGTAATTGTGCTGAATTGTATCTTTAAAATGTGTACTTTTGGGTCATAAATTTTTGCAATAAAACCCTATTGAAACAAGATTACCCCTTATCATCTGCGACTTTCTGGAGTCGTGATTTCCTAAAGCTGTTAAGAGGACAACGCGCTATAGAAATTAAATGACGAATAAAAGACGGTCATTAATTCCATCAATCACTTATGGAATTTTACAACCCGCACAGTCATACAATTTATTGGAAAATTCAACCCTCTAATTTTGACAACCTGTAGACAGCCTTTCTGTGATATCTGATACCGATTAAATAATGGAGCATGGATTTCCCTACTATAAAATTGCACTCAAAGTGCAAGTGCGCGTTTCCAAATGTGCAATTGGAATATTTATTTGGAAGATATTATAATCTTTGGCCCAATTTTAAAATTTTAAAACATTAGTAAATGCGGAAATGTTAAATATTAATGCAACATCATTATTCTAGGTCACACAGTACTCTTGGTCGATTCAGCAAGTCAACAAGTCGCCTAGGCTATTCATCAACCCCGGAAAATCGAAATTCCCAAACCTTGCCCCGACATTTGTCAAGACACGAACCGCCCACACGTTTAGAAAAAAACGACCGATCCAACAGCACAATCAACGTCTCGTTCATCAACACAGTTTCCTCCCCAAATAAGCCCCTATCAAATGGAGCACCCGCGAAACCCGTACGAACCTACAAATCAAATCTCTCGCGTAGCAAAAGCTTTAACGTCGACTTGGAGTCGCCGTACCGTTCCTCGCACAAAATGCAGCTCTCCTCACCTTCCGGTTTGAAAAGTCCCGGACTGATATCGAGTATCAGCCGTAGCCAGCGCGATCTAACCGAAGACGGCATCGAGTACAAGAGCACATCCCGTTTTGTAAAAAACGGAGTTAGTGACAATAAGAGAACGTTCCTAAACGACTTGAAGCAACGCGCCCCCGAACTATACAAAACTCTGCACGAAGAAGAAAAGCACGAATCTTGGAGGCACAACGGTACGACCACACGCCAGCACAACGGCGACATCTACGAGCCGCCCACGCGACTTCGAGACACGCACGTAGTTAAGAATTTCAAGGAGAGCTTCGCACCGTCACTCACGCCGACAACCAGGGCTATTATAAGACGGGGCAGTAACTCGAGCAATGACTACTCCGAGACGTACCACACCAGTACGCGTAATGACGACCCACTAAGACCCACAATTACAAATACCGTCCAGAGTTTCAGCAAGAAAACGGTACCGTCAAGAGACGGGAGTAGCTTCCAAACCATCGAATCGACAGAGACCAAGTCGATTACCAAGAGCCGATATCGCGATCCGGGCGTCAAACAAATTTACTCTTACGATCGGAGGTTAAACAATTCATCCGGACCGGTCGTCATTGAAGTTAGAAATAATTATAAGTAATTTAAGCCGTTGACTTTATTTATTCTACTTTACTAAGTGTACTGACTGAGCTATTATACTGTAATAGAGCGATTTTGCTGATTAATGTAGGTACCTATGAGTAAATATAGAGTTGCGCTTGCAAAATGTGTATACTGCCCTAATTTGAGGTTCAATTTGTAAAAATATGCCTTATTTTATTAATTAGATTCATATGTGTATGTATGTATAATAATTTTGCAATTAGTCTAATTAATTGTTTTTTTACTAGCAGTGCCAAATAATACATATTTGTAAATAAACAGCTTTATTCCGTTTTTTATATTGTACTTATTGGTCTATCAAGTTTCGAAAGAAGGTTTTATTCTACCGGTTTTGCATCTACCTGCAAATTTTCATCTGAGATAAATACAACAAATTTGACATGAAAACTATCCGGGTCGCACAAAGGATTCGAATAAATGCATTATTAATTGATTGTCAATGACAATTAAAACAGAATCTCTGCAAGAAAGACACTTATTGTTTAGACATAGTACCCCGCACGTAGACGTTCGATAAATAAAATAAAAATTTTACTTACAGTTTTTTTTAAGAATCCACTAGTAACCTGGTTGTGAACACTCGCTGACAATTTCAGGAAACTGCACTTTTCTTATTAAATTGAATCTTGATAAATAAGATGAGAAATTTTCTCGGTGGTTGATCGGACGGTAGAAATTTTTAATGATAAGACAAAGGTTTCACTAAGCAGACAACAGTTTTGTTTACTCACATTCGCGCTACCTTTTTATTTAGTTTAGTTTAGTAGTTATTATATTGTCAGACCATTTTCAAAAACTTGTGTGTCTTGTTGACGTGTGGTAAAACATTATTAACCGAAGCATAGTTTGCTTCCACATACAACGCGTTTTCCATTACTAGAAGGTATAGATACCTTTATACTTTAGAGGCTGTACCAAAACGGCAAATACAAAATGATATTAAAAATATACAACAGTGACCAAAGAACCAACGTATATAAAAACCAGTTTGATTTTTAACATCTCCAATGCGAATACTTTGTTGTTCATTATGGCGACGACTGCCAGTATGGAGAACGCTCTTTTTCAACCCTTAGCAACTGAACTCATTTGCGACATTATCAATTTACATGGATTTGATATGACTTTAGTAAACTTACACAAAGATTTGGAGAGGTAAGAAAAGCACTTGTAAACTTAAGATCTACCACCTACCTCTGTGTACATCAACGTAGCAGGAGGGCAAACAAAAGTACCGCCGAATGTCACACTGCGATGCTCCCATGAGTTGCAAGAAGGAAACCCTGAAACAATACAAGTGCTATAGTTACATCTGACTTAAAGTAGGAAAA